TTCAAAATTTAATACTTACGCTAGTGTAACCCCATCCCGAAGTGACCAACTCAACTCCACCCGGTGTGTCTGAACTTGCTAGAGAAATTTTCCCGACTTTCTCGCCAAATTTAATATCCTTCTTAACCTTTATGACTGCGATATCATATGTGATTTGTGGCTTATTGTATTTCTCGTGTTCAGTAATCTTTTCGAATTCATATTGATCACCACCACTGTTTAATTTATTTGTGCCCGCCACTACTCTCATTCTATTCATATACTGCCTGAAATTAAAAACTTGTATAAACGCTTCATTGATAGTGAATAATACATGCCATGGATTATGGGTCTGGCGAAATGTTAGGTCGATTCCCAGGAATTAAACATTAATTTGTAAAAACTTTGTTTAGTCAAGAGATTTGGGATTTCGGGCATTTCAACTTACTTGAAAGGTTGTGTACAATGTGCTGCTGTCAAAACCCATCTCTCTGATATAATAGAACCTCCGCAGAAATGTTGCCAGACGTTATTACCGTTCCTTATTCGCAGCGATACCTGATGGGGGAATTCGCCGTCTGCCGCATTCTCACCTCCGATGATACGAGACTCGGAATCGGACTCTTGAGGATCTTGGAACGTGAAATGGTGAAATAAATGTAATAAGATAAGTAAACGTATAGTGGGAGGCACACACTGTTATGATAACAGATTTTAAACTCAGGTGCCCCCATTAAACAAAACAGGATATATTAATCTTTTAAGCAGAATATTAAAGGAATTCTTATAATACAACTAGAAACAAATGTATATTACCGGTAATATACAAAAATAATTTCTTAAAATGTTAAAAGGTTTGATTGAATTTTGTAAGAGCAAAGATAAAAAAAATATAATAAAATCGCTTTCGTCTGCCGTCCCACCTATTGTATTTAACATCAATACGATTTTTTAAAGTATTAAAATTATACAATTAAAATGATACAATTTTTGATACATTGAAATTAATGATTTTTTACTTTTAGTGTCATTTTGTACTTAAAAATTAAGAGGCACTTTTTCATCCCAACTAGCTCGTGAAGTTTGACGAAAAATTTAACTAAAAACAAATGTATATGTCCGCGAAGAAGGGTTATTTGGGCATTCAAATTTGTTTTTCCAAGATGTTACCCACGACATAAGTTTCATCTAAAAAACATTTTTTTAAGGTCATAAATGAAGAAAAATCATTCTTTCATGCATATGAACCGTTTTCGTAGTGTAGCGTTTTTTTTTTCAAAAATATTTTTTCAATTCGAACTGCTTCCTGCAGCTTTATAATATCAATTTATACTAATATAAATTGATAATATAGATAAACGTTTGCCTGAATCTTATAAGCTTGATTGTAGTTTTTAAGTGCAAAGCTCTAGGTCTAGAACTTAAAACATTTCAACTACTCCATACCTCTTGTGTGTCTATGACCACGTGCATCTTCGGGTCCATCAGCAGACTCCTCAGCTGAAACTCCTAAGGAACAAAAATATTAATAATTTCAATACAAGAAGGAATCGCTTTTGGCATATAGAATTGAACAAATAAAAAAGCACGGGCCGCCAACTACATCTACGTCAACTACCCGTCGATACCCGCTGGGGGAGACCGCAAAACGCATTCAACGATCCCTATGATTACTTATCAAAGGCCGTGGACAATGGTAATCGTGGATGAGTGCCCATGCTCAGCATTCCCCTCATTTGGTTGAGAATCAGCTTAGGCTGATGTCCCCAATGGGACGGGCACCCTTGATCACAGACACCCGGTTAGCAGGAGAGACCCCGGGCCAATTAAAATACGAAAAATCCATACAAAAATCTACCTTATTTAAAAAAGCAGGAAATTAAATATAATAAATAATACTCACCAAAGATGGAGACAATTGCCACGAGGAACAGACAAGTTATTTTGAACTTCAACATTTTGCTTAGTAGATGTTACTAAGCAGTGGAAAGTAATACTTTTACTTATGAATACCTTCATATTTATACTATTGTATCTAATTACCTTAACCTATGGTTGATTGTATATAAATTGCTGATTATCAACTTATTATAAACAACCTCAATGTCAAAGTAAATTAAAATGATATTTTAAAAATGATAGTATTGTAGGTATTTAATTCTATGGGTTCCAAATAAAAAACAGAAAACTTCTTAACTATCTAAGCTCTACCGGTAAGTACGGAAGGTTGCAACGGGGCGGCTAAGTTCAAATGTAAGATAGTGACGTAACCTCTAACAGTTCAACGGTTTGAATATGCTTAAGCAATTAACAAATAAGTTCTTTCTTTATTTATTTGTATAAATTATCGTATGCTGTTAGAAAAAGCTTATAAATAATAAGACGTTGAACCTTAATACGCAAGTGTTAAGGTTGAAATTACATTGCGCGAGAGGCGCATGTATCAATAAGTTGAAAAAATGCGACGATGAGGTGTAGGACTCGGTAGCTCAATTGGTAGAGCAACAGCACGGAAAGCTGACGATGCCGGTTCAAGTCCTGCCCGAGTCGAAAATTTTTTCAATTTATTTTCGATTTTTAAATTATATATATAATATGTCTAAATAATATCGAATCTAAAAAAAAAGTCGTAACTACTTACGCTTTAGCCCACTTGTTACTTCAGTCCCGTCGGTGGCTACCGTTAATGGGTTAACAAGGGCATGTGTTGTTTTTAAGTTCTTTGTAAGGATCTCTAAATAACATACCTATATGTTATCATATTTTCATGAAATAGATAATGTTGTAAAGAAAATTGTAATAATTTAAACATGTCATTTATATTTTCAAGGCTGGAGGAAGTGAAATTAATTGTTTTGTGAATTTTAATAATACGACTACATAATTGAAAACTCTAATCAACAGAGTTGGAGTACGTCCTCGCATCTCAACTGCTCGTCTACCAGGACTCCGAGGTGTCTGCATACTTTCACTTGAGAAACTGAAGCATTGTCAAGGCTAATGGTAAATTGTAGATTTTTAATTAATTGGGTATTGTTTCTTTGTGCCCAAAACCATGTATTTAGATTTTGCCGGATTTAATACCAACGCATTCTCGTTTGCCCATGACAGTTGATCGGTTCTTCTTCCACCGGCCGCGTGAGCGGCCGTCGGAACAGGTTGACCACAGGGGTCTATACTTGGACCTGGATGGGCTTCATGAGATAGTACTGTTTGCTGATTACACTTCACTTTTATTTAGTGTGAAACGCGGAAATATCAGTAGACGATGTAAACAGTGCTATCGCAAGAGTCGTTCAGTGGTTTAACACGAATAATCTCTTGCTAAATGAAAATAATACTAAATGCATTAAGTTTGTAACAGCAAACGTTAAATGCAATACAATTGATAATTTAAAAATAAAAGATGAGGAAATAGGTCTTGTCGAAAATGTTGTATTCTTAGGTATAACTCTTGATTGTAAGCTCCAGTGGAGACCACATATAAAAAACTTTCGAATAAACTAAGCTCTGCAGCCTATGCTGTAAAGAAGATATAGCTAACTGATGAAAATACAGCCAAGCTTGTCTTTTTTTTCGTCATTTCCATAGTGTAATGTCTTACGGCATCCTTTTATATTATGTGGCAATGTAGCTGTACGGACAAACGCCCGTACAAAATTACTGTATATTTATTAAAATATTATTCGTAGCAAAGCTAGCATAAATTGTAATCCATGTCAATGTTATGCACACTCAAATGTTTATATTGAGAGCAAATATTACAAGGTTAGCTGTGTAAGCATCCTACTTTCCCACTTTATTGTAAATGATCTTATAACTATCTTATATTAACAGGAAATAAATCAGTTGCACTACAGCACTCATTGGGTTTGGTTATCTCGCCTCCCTCTTAAGCTTATATCTTAATCATGTCTCTTCATCGTTTATCTTATATAACTATCTATATATATTCACGTATACTTTTCCGAGCTGTTATACGCAATAGTCTCTGGTACCCGAAACTCGGGAGTATACGCTAAACTGTCATTCACTACAGCAGCCGATATTCAAACTATATTTGCTTTACAGAAAAGGGCCATTCGAGCGGTTTGTGGTCTTTCCCCACGAGAGTCCGTTCGAGATAAATTTAAATCATTGAATATTCTAACATTAGCAAGTCAATATATTTATGAAAATGTTTCGTTTGCTCGAAAAAATGTACATAATTTTAAAACAAATAGCAGTTTTCATCAATATAATACACGCAATAAAGATAAAATAAGTGTACCGACCAAAAGGCTCCATAAAACAAGTAATTGTTTTCAAGGTAACTGCATACAATATTTTAATATAATCCCTAGTGAAGTAAAAACACTGTCAATAAATAAGTTTAAATCGTATGTTAAACAGAAACTGCTTGAAAAGGGTTATTATAACGTAAATGAATATTTAAATGATAAAAATGCCTGGGGTATTGATGTAAGAACCCGCGGGGCCACTATCCGGCTTTTTCTTATATGCGTCGGGGACGTTATTTAGATCATTGAAAGAAAAACATTCTCTATTATTTTGAACTTGAACGGTTTTTGCAGCTTACGCTAAGGCTAAGGCCCGCCACAGAGCGTCATCCGCACTCCTAACTATCCTTGACCCGATAATAGGCAGGGATAGGTCAGCGCCGAATGCTCCGGCCAGGGCAGTCCTCTGACTCGCCCAGGCCGGGCATGCCTCCAAAGTGTCTAAAGCACCTTCATAGTTACATAGTTCAACACTATGTAACTATGAAAAACTAACATCTTAAGAGCGTTTACACCTTACGCGCGACGTCAAGTTTAGTTAAAGTCAAAGCGAATTTTATTCACTCAGACGCAAAAGAGTCTGTATACGTATGCTAGGGCAATTTGTAGCGCTAGAAATCGTCATGATCCTTGCAATTTTATAATATATATTCGGAATAAATGAAACACACTTTTTATTATTCTGAGATAGTGATACATAGATTAAAATTGAATAATTGGGTGTTTGTTCACACTCTTCTACTAGCCACTTGTGTTTTTTTTTATCCAGTCCAGGTAAGAGAAAACTCTTGTAAAGACATCAGGAAGGCCGCGCCCACAGGGAATATTCCACGAAGTTATTCCCACCACCTCCCCCTTATGCACCAGCGGACCGCCAGAATCACCCTGGAAAAACAGACACGTTAGGGACAGTATGTGATTTATAATGATGTATTTATAATTTATATACCATAATCATTTTAAATCATAAATGTAACTTTTATCACAGAGGCAGACAGACAAGTATAGGGTTGCTCCATGGAATGCAACAAAATCGCGAAAGTATATTTTTTCATTTTGATCTTTTAACTTGTACCACATAATAGGCATGTTGAGTTTGAGAGATTATGCTTTTCTATAAAAGCATGTAACAACCAACCTGGCAGATGCCTTGGCCTTCCTTCTTGAATGTGCAGATCTGTCTATCCGAAAATGGAGTTCCTTTGTACTTTTCTAATTTCTTCTGACATTCTGACACGGAAAGTGATTCCACTGTAAGCTTTTGCAAATCATTGGGCGGTTTTCGGTTATATCTGTCGTTCTGTATGAAAATAATATTATTAAGCAACGCAGCTTGTTGCCGGCATAGTATAAATTATGGGCAAATGAAATTGACGTAATCTTGATTATGGACACCTACTTGTATTTTCAGTAGCAATGTTTTCTTTGCGATGAAAATTACGTAAGTACACTGATATAAAACTAGCAAAGACAGTTTGTAGTCACGGATACGAGTTCTGCCTAAGTAATTTAATACTTACGTTAGTGTAACCCCATCCTGAAGTGACCAACTCAACTCCACCCGGTGTGTTTGAGCTTGCCAGAGAAATTTTCCCGACTTTCTCGCCAAATTTAATATCTTTCTTAACCTTTATAACTGCGATATCATATGTGATTTGTGGCTTATTGTATTTCTCGTGTTCAGTAATCTTTTCGAGTTCGTATTGGTCACCCCCACTATTTAGTTTATTTGTGCCCGCCACTACTCTCATTCTATCCATATACTGTCTGAAATGAAAAACTTGTATGAATGCTTTTCATGCTTTCATTCCAGGAGTTGAACATTAATTTGTAAAAACTTCAGTCAGAAGATTCGGAATTTCAGACATTTCAACATACCTATAAGGTTTTGTACAATGTGCTGCTGTCAAAACCCATCTCTCCGATATAATAGAACCACCACAGAAATGTTGCCAGACGTTTCTATAGTCCTTTATTCTCAGCGATACCTGATGGGGGAATTCGCCGTCAGTCGCCTTCTCACCTCCGATGATACGAGACTCGGAATCGGACCCTTCAGGATCTTTGAACGTGAAATGGTGAAATTAAGTGTGATAAGATTAGTAAATGTATAGTAAGCAACACAAACTGTTATGATAATAGATTTTAAACTCAGGCCACAATTAGACGAAACATGATACACTCATCTTTCAAGCAAAAAATAGAGGTAATACCAATATGCCAAATACCAACGCTGTTTTGTTCTTATAATGAATGAAATTCTTTATAATTGTGAAGATGTGTCATGGGCTGTTTTTCTTACGTATGAAAGAAAGAATCCTTTAACTCATATTTTGTAACTACTATAGCATGAGAATTATATCCACTTTACCTAAATACGTATTGAATTAATAATTTGTTGTAAAACTAAGGGAGAAACTTTTCATCTTTGAAAGTTTTTATTGCGTACGGTGCAAAAACAGTTCAAGAGACCCACAAAATATGTATGAAAGATGGGTATGCAATACCAAATTTTGGCAGCCAAAATAACTATTCTATGCGGTCGAAGTCTTTGGCACAACTAGAGTTTAATATACATATTTCAACAGCGCAGGGTTCTATAGTATGTTGCCACTGTGTCTGTGGACTATAGATTTTTTTACGAAATATAAACCTAAAAACAAATGTATATTACCGACAATAAACATAAAAAATTTCTTTCAACGTTAAAAGGTTTGATTGAATTTTGTAAGAGCAAAGATATAGTCTAGGTAGGGTAAGGCTTAGCTGAACATTGCAACGACTGAACATCTTTGACACGACCTCTACGGTTACCTGCATCTTCGGGTCCATCCGCAGAGTCTTGCGCCGAAGTTTCTAAGGAACAAAAAAAATATAATTTCAATATAAAAATCGCTTTTGACAGAATAGATGGGAGGGCTTCCCATCTATTCTGTTCATCATCAATTCAATTTTCAAAAGTTTTATAAGATGAAATAAAAAACGTTTAAATTTTTGGAATAAGACATTGATATAATTAAATGTATCATTTTTTACTTTGACTGGTCCAGTTTAACACAAAATTAAAATAAAATCAAATGTATATTACTACGCAAAATAAAACTAAATGTATAAGATTGATTATATTTTTTAAGTGCAAAGGTCTAGAGCTTAGCTGAACACTCCGGCTACTGCATACCTCTTCTGGGTCTATGGCCGGGTCTACGGCCGTGTCTATGTTCACGTGCATCTTCGGGTCCATCAGCAGACTCCTCAGCTGAAACTCCTAAGGCACAAAAATATTAATAATTGCAATATAAGGAGGAATCGTTTTTGAGATATTGAATTGAATAAATAAAATGTCGGGCCTACACTGGGAGAGGCCGCGCAAGGCACTTAACCTATCAAAAGTCGTGGACAACAGTATTCGTGGATAGGTTCGGTCCCATGCTCCGCGTACCCCAATCTGGTTGAGAAACAGTCTTAGCTCCCACCCACATCGGGGTGATCAAAGCCTACACTGATGCCTCCCTGGGACACCTTTGGTTTAGCCAAACAAACAAGCGCTCGCCAAAACATCATGTTAGCATCAGAGGCCCCGAGCCAATGAATTTACGTAAAAACCAATAAAAAATCTACCTTATTTAAAAACAGCAGGAAATTAAATATAATAAATAATACTCACCAAAGATGGAGACAATCGCCACGAGGAACAGACAAGTTATTTTGAACTTCAACATTTTGCTTAGTAGATGTTACTAAGCAGTGGAAAGTAATACTTTTACTTATGAATACCTTCATATTTATACTATTGTATCTATTACCTTAACCTATGGTTGATTGTATATAAATTGCTCATTATCAATTTATCAAACAACCTCAATGTCAAAGTAAATTAAAATGATATTTTAAAAATGATAGTATTGTATTTAATTCTATGGGTTCCAAATAAAAAACAGAAAACTTCTTAACTTTCTAAGCTGTACCGGTAAGGAAGGGAGTAACGGGCGACTTAAGCGACTGCGAGTTTTAAGTACAAAACTAAAATACCTAGTGACGTAACCTCTAACAGTTCAACGGTTTGAATATGCTTCAGCAAGCTACAACAACTAAGTTTTTTCATAATTAATACAAATAAGTATTAATTATGCTATGCTTGCTATGAAAAAGCTTATAAATAAATAAAACAAATGTTTCATTACAATTTCATTTTTATATAACGAAATCACCTTTTTTCCGACCCAATATACGAACCCGGACCTCGTGGTGTGCAGTAACCACTAGAGCAATGGACAGTCAGTAGGTTTTGTAAAAATTCAGTAGGGCTTAAATACGAAGTTTGTTCATGACTATTTACATGACTAGATAGTTGAGGTATATAACTTAAATCAAATTCAGTGTGTCCCAGGTGTATCATTTAAAATTGTGTTCAAGGAATCTAAAAAATAGTCTTAACGTTGTACTTTAGTCCCAACGGTGGGTACCGTTACTGGGTTAACAAGGGGACGTGTTGTTTATAATTATTTGTAAGGATCTCTAAATAACATGTATGTTGTCATATTTTTTTCATTAAATAGATAATATTTTAAAGAAAATTGTAATAAATTAAACATGTCATTTATATTTTCAAGGCTGGTGGAGGAAGTGAAATTAATTATTTTAAAATTTTAATTATGCAAATACATAATTGAAAACTCTAATCAACAGGGTTAGTGCAGACAACGATACTGTGCTCTAATATTCCAAAGTTTGTATCCAATATTTGTCTTACGTTTTTTTAGTTTAAGTGCTCTATTTATAAACTTCTCGGCCTCACATCTATGACTAGAGCATCAACATGCCAATACCGTAATAAAATGTATTACACATTTTATTACAGAACTTCGAAACGAATACTACCTAATATTTAAATCCGATAAATTATAAACACGATGTGCACTAATTAATAATAATATTAATACATTTCATAAACGAATTATGTTAGTCGCCACCGGTGGTTGCAAAAAAATCTCTCATTTACTTAATAATTAATTTAATAAAAAATATTACATTTAATGAATCCTACTTGTCTCCCTGTGCACGATGCATCAGGTCGACGCTTACAATGATTTTAATCTATTTCTTATACTAAAATGGGTACGGCAACAGTAGCGTCACATACCGATCGCACTTTCCCCGTAGTGGCACAGCTTAGGGCTGTCGCCTAATAAAGCGCAGCTTGGGGCCGGCACATAACGCTTCCCTCAAGAACCCCGACTATTTTAACACGTTTAGGGAAAATATTGCGGGTGGATCCTGAGCTGCTAACGTATTCGCTGCTGCTTCTTCCACACGAAGTTGCCTTATTCTTAAATAATGACGATAGTAGATGAACAGCGCGACTATCGCCATTAGCAGAAACAATACATAAAATGGTATAGATATAATATGATGGATTTTTCAGGAATTATTGGCTCCTGAGCATCGATCTGCTTTTGAAGATTCTGTAGCCTTTTCAGATCAATTGATGATATTCGAAGAACTTTTAAAGATGGAGAAGGAATGGAATTGTTGATGATGTCAGTAGAATCTTCATTAGTTGTCCATTAATTTTATTGTTAACATTAACAATTGTAACGTCACCAGTGCGTAGGGGAGCAGTTTGTCGGTAGAGTTGCAAAACAGCATCCTTTTAGGTTTAGATATTCGTTTCTGCCACAGGATCGAATAACTTTTGTTTCATTAGGAAACACAAGTGAGTAATGGGCGTCGTCCAACTTTTCCATTGCTTGCTTTGTTAACACCAAGGTAACGGTGGAACAACAACGGCGACAACGCAATCCGCTGAACTTTTGATGTGGTGATTGAGGTCTTCTTTAGAAAGATACCGATCACTTAACTTCTGGCATTTAGCCTCTATGTACACATAATCATTACGATCGGTTGCTATATAAGGATATGGTGGCATGAGGACTTGGTTCAGGTGACTCGGAAACATTTAAAGTTTATAAAGAATATACATAATTGGAGAGACAATCGGGATCCTTCACACTATAGCTATTTTGTTTTCTAAAGAAACCCAGTGCAATTAATAATACTGTAATACCTACTCCCGCAGATCAAGTTCAAATTATAATTGGTTCTTGTCATAAAGACTCACTAGCGTTCCTAATAAACTGCGTGCTATTCCTAATATTAAATATAACTTAAATCACTACAGTTATCGGAATCACAATTATTATTCCTTAAATTATCTAAATCTCGTAGGCTATCAACTTGCCGAAATCGAGAAGATTGTTGGTGGGTGGAAAATCGTGGAAAGGACTTTATAAAACAAAAGGAAGCAACACAATAGATAATTTTGTGTGTACTTAGATGAGCATATTGTGACCGGTATCGAAGTCTGGATGCGCCGGGGCTCTTTGGTTCGAAGAGTTATAGTTCATTTATCTATTTCCCTTATCAATTGATATGTAGGGTAGTATTTGGGTGTAATACTTATAATTTCATAAATCATTTAACAAATACTTCCGGTATCCATTCTTCCTTACTAATATTATAAATGCGAAAGTAACTCTGTCTGTCTGTTACTTTTCCACGACAAAACTACTGAACGGATTTGAATGAAATTTGTTACACAGATGGTCAGACCCTGAGAAAGAACATAGGCTTTTTATTGCGGAAAAGGGGTTGTAAGGCGTTAAAAGGTGGGGTGAAAGTTTGTATGGCAATTCGTGGTTTTTGAAGCTAGAACAATGAAACTTTCATCTTTGGCTTTTTGGGAATAGGAGTTGGAGTGGGAGTGTGCATGGGAGTGGGCGTGGGTGCGGGAGTGGGAGCGGGAGTGGGAGGTAGATTAGGAGTGATGTGGGGTGAGAGTGTTGCGGCAAAGTAGCACTTACAACATAGATTGGCTGCGATAAATGCGCAATTACATGCACTAATAAACAGCCTAAAAAATTAAAAATTCTATCTCAAGTCACTATTCCACGCGAACGAAGTCGCGGGCACAGCTAGTAATTTATAAATCATTTTTCGATACATCCAATTGAGAGTATATCAACGATTTTCAAACACACCGGTTGAATTTAAAAATCGAAAATAAATTGAAAAAATTTTCGACTCGGACAGGACTTGAACCGGCATCGTCAGCTTTCGGTGCTGTTGCTCTACCAATTGAGCTACCGAGTCCTACACCTCATCGTCGAATTTTTTCAACTTATTGATGCATGCACCTCTCGCGCAATGTAATTTCAACCTTAACACTTGCGTTCTAAGGTTCAATGTCTAATGCTTTGCAGCTTAAGAATTTATTGAAGATGAAATTACAAAGTTATAACGTTTGAAAACATTAATATTTTTCACATGTTATTGCACATGAAGGCACTATATAATTTAAATTTGCCCGAGTCAAAAAATTTTTCAATTTATTTTCGATTTTTAAGTTAAATAGTGCCTTCATGTGCAATAACATGTGAAAAATATTAATGTTTTCAACCGGTTGAATTGTTAATAGATCTACGAAACGGACTAATCAAGTGTTATAATTTAATAAACCTATAGTATATTTACTTAATTAATCTTTTCGTTCATTTATATAAAATATATATTATTAATCAGTGAATAAATATTGGTAATTGAAAAGAAGCACGTCCGGTTGATGCCGTGTTGTTTTTTAAAAGAGTCTTCTTGGTGGAAGATGGAGCGAGGGCGTTCAGTGCTATTGTAGTCGTGAAACTGAAACAAACGATTATAAGTACGTGTTCCATAAATAAAGTAAAGGAAAAGTAAGTTTCGTGTTGTTATTTCACAACGGCGCCCTTCTGGGCTTATAATGGAAAGAATTATCATAAAAGATACTCGTAATTGTTTTTTGGGAGAGACGGTCAGCGTCGCAGGTCACGGTCCAAAGGTAGGTTTCCGAAAAATTTCCCGCGATTTATGATGACCCGAGTGTCCTGCCGACTGCGCCAATTATGTTAGTCGCCACCGGTGGTTGCAAAAAATAATTAATTTAATAAAAAATATTACATTTAATGAATCCTACTTGTCTCCCTGTGCACGATGCATCAGGTCGACGCTTACAATGATTTTAATCTATTTCTTATACTAAAATGGGTACAATAACAAACGACATAATAAATATCAATAACAATAAAATAACAAAACAGTTATTTAAATAAAAAAAAACATATTTCATAAAAATGATAACATTAAATTATAATTTGAATTAAATTGATTTTTCACAAGACAAAACTATTAGAATTTTCTTTTAATGATATCACTATTCAAATTAAATAAATAAATAATCCATTTATTATCACAAAGTACATAAGTTACAATTAAAATAAGGATTAAAAATAAAAGTACAATTTTAACTTGGTGCTAAAAGGCAGATAACAAGTAGTACCAAAACATGTAAATATTGTGGAAAAATTGTAACGAATATGTCATGGTACTTTTTAAAGTACTTTCAACCGTGCATTTCCTTAGTCGAGGAGGTAGACTATTCCAAATTGTGCTTGCTTTTATAGGAAACGCCCCCGTCGTTCGCGAATTATAGTGCTTTTGCACAAGCATCGAGTTGCGCGTGTTAGATTATTCAGATAATTTAAGTTCTTTTGTTACACTAAGTTATGTTTTAATCTCAATTTGTCTCTAAAGTCATACAGATATTCTATAAATATTACAAAATTGTATTAAGACAAATGTAAATGTAACCGTTTAATTATTATAACTATATAACAACTTATTAACATGT